GTTTTTAAAACTTCTTGTTTTGACATAAGTGACCTTAGGTCGAGATGCTTTTAAGCGCAGATCGGCAAAGATAATATCGTGGTCACTTATTGGGCAGTCTGTTACACCAGCTTTATTGACTTGTTTAGCCTGTGAAGTGAGAATCACATCTATAATAGAACTTGGTGAGTCTGTTACTCTTGTGGGAGAAGCAATCAACTGCAACAGATTAAACGACCGGCAGAAACTAGTTAGGGATTTCGTTTCAGTGCATTCTGCATTAAGGAGATTACAATTTAAGTCCCTTGTTATGTACACAGGCTTGTCCAGAGACAACGCGCAAATCAAAGTGGCTGTCAAATCGTCCTCCAGACCGGTTAACGTTGTATCTGGAGGTCTAGAAACAGTGCAAGTAATAATTGACTTTAAGTTCCTGACCTGTATTTTCAACCACAGCTGATGAAAACCATTGATGGAAATATTAGAGATGTCGGCTAACAGTTCTGTACGATAGTTGCTTGCGACATATGCACAGAAGCCGCCACCAGCCTTGTTACTTCGATCGACGCGGTAGATGTTGTATCCAGGAATTTCAATGTCTAAGTCGGAAACAGTGGCATCTAGCCAAGATTCAGATATAGTGAAAACTGCAAATTTATTTGATAAAATAGTGTCATTGACAAGTAGCAAGAGATACCTGCATTTCAGCAAGCCTCTAATTCTGCATCAATTTTTTCCTGCCACATAGGTCGTTCGTGCTCTTCTTGTCGCAAACGCAACGCAGTTAAATGGCGCTCCTCTTCTGGCTGTTGTTCTTGTTTGGCTTTTTCTTTCCATTTCCTTGTCTATTTCTTCTTGTCTGTTGTTTAAGAACTTTGCAAGCTTTTCTTTGTCCACAAGAAATGTGGAATACCTGGCCTTTACGTCCTTCTTCCTTTGTCTCACTGATCAAGGAGATACACCATTATCTATTTTTAATTCCTCTGCTTGCGAAATAAGGTCTGCTAACTTGCCTATGATTTTCTCCGCTCGTCTGTTGGCAATATCCATTTCCGTGTAATCCCGTAGCTTAATTAGCTCGTCCATTTTGTCCAGAAAGTACTTGAGTTTGTGTATTTCCTTGTCTATTTCTTTTTCTAGTTGTTGTTCATCCTCACAACTGCGCCGCGTGTCTGTGTTTTCCTTGCCATCGCTCATATTTTCCAATGTGTAATAACCAGTTGAAGTCCGCAGTATCCTGGTCTCGGCACCACTTTTTGCACCGAACTTGTGGGGCACAAAATAGCTCGCTTATATCATAAATCCTTCGTTTATTTAAATCACAATCTGCTTGTACATTTCCTCTCCGACCGATCTTAACAAAAGGTAAATTTGCACTACTCTCTTTTTCAGCTACTCCGATTTCATAAGTCAATCAAAAAAGGGTAACATTAATACGATACTAAAAGAGTCACATCCGGTTTAAATAAGTGTCATGACATTTCCGGTCATGTTCTGGTCAAAGCGAACATATGAAGAATAGGAATAAATAGTCTTTTCTTAAAGTTTCTTTGTCAAGCATTGTTGTGCAAAAGCGAAAAAAATCGAACCCTAGGTCGCTGGAATTAAACAGAACGCTGGCGCTACAAAATAGTCCAAAATAAAGATTCATAACTCCAAAATCTCATCAAATCTTGACTTACCTCATTCCTTGGTATTTATTGTACTCTTTTCAAGTTTGAATTTCTGTGTTGGTGATATCAAGCACATAAAAACAACCAAAAACAAGCTTGATAGCATTAGAGGAAACCCTTTGCATTATCCACTTGATAGAGATTTATCCAGTGCTAAGCATTATTCCAGGGGGAGGTTTACTCCAAGTGATCAAATGTATATAATCAAATGGAGGAAAAACAGCAAAACCAAAAAAATCTGCGGGCCTTCGGGATAAAAGGCTTGTCTACTTTCCTGGGCACTAGTTTGAATAAATGCTATAGGGGGTAAATTATGTAGATTCTGTGCTTAATTGAGCGCTCTTCTCTTGATGAACGTGAATGCAAAGTGATGTCAAAACAAAGTAGGCTTTAAGCATTTTTTGGTGCAACAGCACAAAGAGGAAACTGCTGAAACGTCCACTGCAAATGATGAAGCTGGGCCAAAGAACGATAAATCGAGAGAACTGAAGAACTACAGAGCTGGCTAGAGAAGTATAAATGGCCGCAGTTCGATCCACCAAAGAGTATGTTCTGTTCACTTTGTGAAAAATCAAATGTCAAGTCAATCTCACGTGAATAAACCTATTTTACTTTTCCTCTAGATAACGACTGTATGTATGTGCAATTCACTCTTGAACATTGCATTCGTTGATAACATAACACCTGGTACGTTAGAAAAGAAAAATATAGTG